AAGCAGAAAAAAGTTTGACAAGGATCAGCAGTGTGGATCTTTATAGAGAAAACACAGTGCAAGAAGTAATAGAGGATACTGTAGATAAACAGAGCTTAAGTATAAAAATGGGTTCTGAAGAAGAATAGGAAAGAAACTGGGAAATGTAAATGTCAAAAAATATAGCAGATTATTCTAGGGTGCACAAGTTTGCTTTCCTGAATTAGTTCACTATCTGCCTTTCACCAAGTGATCATGAAAAATATGTATTCTGTTAGTGTTTCAGCTTCCTTATCAGCAAAACAAAGACTTAAAATAAATGTCTCTCACAAGGAGCTTTAATTCATGATGCAGAAGCAATGACATGAACCAAATGCTACTGGAGAAAGAAGAATGACTTTATGATTTTGCTATTTATTATGTAAATGTTAAGTAATCTTAGTTGAGAAAAGTTCCACTGTACATGGTACTTTATAAAAACATAGAAAAAATTTGACACTGAGTGGTACAGATTAAAAATAAAAGAGAGAAAAAAAAAGATCCGTAGCAACTTCACAAAAGTAATCACAAAATTGTAGACCAACATAAACATGTGTTGTATTATTTCTTTTCTGTGTGTGAATAGAGCTGAGGTACAAAAAGAAACAGGGTAGAATTAGCATTTTTCTTCTCACTATCAGAACTGTCAGTCTAAAAGAAACAGACACTGTTTTTTGAGAGACTGAAGAGACCACAGAAAAATGAGGTAATGAAAAATCTGAACTTTTTTTTTTAATCAAAGCGCAGCTACTGTGAGAAAAGTATCTTTCATGAAAATAATAAATTTTCATTTTATTCCAAAGAAGAAGGAAAGCAAGCTTCTGAAACATGAAAACTATCAACAGCCATTTCTAATTCCTATTCTAAATCCTGGGAGCAACACAGGAACAGTGAAGACTCTTTTTCATTACCATTTTCAGGCTATAAGCATTATGGAAAGCCTTGACACCAGCTGAAGCAGCCAATAGAAAAGGGAAAATTGTAACTAAGAAAAATTCTGCAATCTGAGAAACATCAAAACATACACCAAGAGATGAAAGAATCAGCTTAGCTGCAGATAGAATTTACATTCACATTTCTTACAATTCTTCAATAATGCTAAGGTCTTTTTTTTGTTTCCCAATGAAATATCCAGTCAGAAATATCCAGCTTTGTATAACTAATTCTTTTCTACACTCAGATTAGACAGCATTGCTAATTTCTTCCCCTTTCTGACTTCCTAAAAAAGCTGTAATATCACATTTCTGAGAACATGAGGAGCCAGATGATGATCTGAAGGACCTAATTAACTTCAAAAGACACCATCCTCCTTTTTCATCGAAGGTATTTCTCAGGGATGTTTCATTCACAAGAGTAGCAGCATTGCAGAATGACAGAAAGGTTTAGGTTGGAAAGGACTTCTGGAAGTCATCTTTGTCCATCCTTCACACTCAAGCAGGGACACCTATAGCCAGTTGCCTAGAACCAGGTCCAGACACATTTTGAATGTCTCCATGAAGGGAAACTCTGCAAGCTCTCTCAGCAAACCTGTACACTTATGCCCCAGTGCTCTCTAAGATTGTAATGTTAGCAAGCAGTTGTTTTGTTTTTCCTGATTCTCATTTATGTTCTCCTTCAAAAAATATTCTTTGGCTTTAGCATCAGACAGCCTTGGCCAGGTTCCAAAGCTTTTTTAAAGAAAAAATTAAATGGATTTCTATTTAGATAATTTATGCAGAAATTACTGTCAGTTTCATAGGCAGCTACTGATCCTCACTGTGACTGGAACTAATAACTATAACCAAGATATGATAATTTCATTTAACATTAGGAAACCATCTGGTGCTTTCATTTCATGTCGTAACACAATGACACTATTTTGCTCAATCCAGTCTCATTACAAGAAGATAAAGCAGCTAAAGAAAAACATACACATAGACGATAAATTTATCTCCTCAGACACCTTTGGGCAACCCCTCCAGAAAATATACTCCCATAGATTTTTAAAGTAGGAGGGAACCACTAAAATCTAATCTGAGCTAATGATGGCTATGTATTTCATTGAATAGGCTCTAAATCAAAAGCTTGGGCTATGCTATATCTATTCTCTTCAGAATAGCTGATGGATGAATCCAGTCAACTCCTGGATAAGTTCTACCAGGCGTTAATTTCTGACAGTCTTAAAAACTTGCACTTTATTTTTGGTCTGAATTTGCCTAATTTTAGCTTTGAAACACTGGATCTTGTTATAGCTTTTTTCTGCTAGATTAAACAGTCATTTATTATCAGAAGTCTCATTCTCTTTAAGGCACTTACAGACGGTGATCAAGTCACTCCTTAACATTCTCTTCAGCAGATTAAATAGCCCAATCATCTCTAGCCTTTAAGTATAAAACTTTTCTTCCAGATCTACGGTTGTCCTTTCACTTTTTATGAACACCTACTAATTTTAAACTTATTGTTGAAGTGTGGTCACCAGAAAGGGACAAAATATTTCATTAACAGTTTCCATAATGTCATATACAAAAGGAGTGTTTCTTTCTACCTGATTGATTTGTTCATATAACAACCTAATATTTACTGTTTTAAGCCATTCTTCATCTATTTGATAAAACAACCTATTCAAAAGCAATTTAAAACATCCTTAATCCTAGTTTTCATCCACAATGCAGGAAGAAATAGGCAACTGAAGCCTTTCTGTACTATCCATTTTTGGTGTCATTTCTGTACATTAAGACAATGTTTCTGATTTTTTATTTTTGTCTTCTTTGGTCATTTGCCTGTTCTTAAGGGCCTTTTTAATAATAATTTTATAGTAGTACCTATGAACTGTTAGTAGTATCTAGTAGTATCTTTTTAGGCAATTTCCCTTCAGACTTGTTTTCTTTTCTCCAAGTAAGAAAATCACATTCCTGAAGTAATTTGTGTATAGAAAATACAAATTTACTTTGCAAACACAACAGTACAGACAGAGTAGAACTACAGTGTTTTGTTTCCTGATATTTAAACCTTCTCAAATAATACTACCTAATTTTACTAGAAAGCTTACTGGAACAGACAGACACTTTTCTTTGTCTACTGTAGAAATATTTAATTTAATTTGATTTGATTCCTTATACAGTTAGCTCTAGTGAAAACCATTTACATCAAGCATACTCCAGTTTCCACTTGGAAACTGCTTCAGACACTGAATGAATCAAATGAGATTGTATTTATTTCTCTTTTGAGCATGATTTCCTCTTATTGGCTGAAATACAAGAACAGTTGTGCCTACTTCTCATGCTTAAGTTTGGATACATTTTACTAGGTACAAAATTATACTAATTAATTTCCATACTTCTTAGATAAGATATTAAACTGATCAGAAAAAAAAAAAAAAAACGTATTTAGAATAATTTATTTGCTAGCTGACCTGTCAATGAATTTTTATATTTCAAAATAATATCTACAACTTGTTCACATATAAAGTATAAATATGTTTGTTCAACAAAGTAAACCCTAATTTTACCTAAAATTTATAAACAGAATAAATAAGCAATATTAAATGATGTGATCTAACACCATTGCTCTGTTGTGTACAAGTCCAGGGAGTTTCAAAGACACAAATCTATGCACAATTCCTATTTTGATAGAATTCTCTCTCATTCATGACTACAATTTACAAGAAAAGCATAAAATATATCTAGATAAATAAAATCAGAAGAAGAAAGAGAACAGTAAGGAAGAAATGTGCAGAAAGAAAGTAGTATAGTGATATGTGGATGGAAAAGCATACAAAGAAGAAAACATCATCTCTAAAAGAAAAGACAAATCACACACATTAAAAAAAAAAATGAAAAAGAATAAGACAGAAAGTTAAAGGTTAGAGGAAGGAAAACTAAAAGTTAAGAAGTTGCTTCTGGTAAAAGTACTGCTGGAAAAATTACTGGCAAGTTAAAATTGCTTCCTGATATTTTAGAGTCCGCAGTTTCAGTCTCAGAAAGAACAAGTTCCAAGCCTTCTTCAGGACAAGAATGAAAATAGTATTTTCTGGTAATACTCATTGTGTCATCTATGTCCTGAGACTTAAATCATTTTCACACTTCAAAAAATCCAAGTTTATAAACTTTCCTTCAATCATATTTCATTTAATTACTTGAAATATTTCCTGACATCAATAGACTTTGAATTGATTACTTACTTCTATTAACTTCCTCAGCTTCTTTTCTAAGAAGCATTCTGCGGAAAATAATCTGAACATTCCCAATGCATGCTAAAAATTAAGCAGCCAAAAACATTCTGATAGACTGAAGTTTATTTTAATTTCCAAGCAAAAGATGAGAGATCTATATATGCGTATTTTTTTAATTATACAGTGTATCCTTGGATTGCTTGTAAGGTTATAACAATAAATAGCAACTTTTTAGATACCAAATAAATATCTGAGGGAAAAAAAAAAATAGCAAACATTTCTGAATCCTTTTATACACTCTTCAATTTCTGGGCCAGCTTATATTTTACTTTGTACCTTATTTTGCCTAGTTTCAAATGCCAGTGTAACAGTCACCCCAAAACTTTAAGTGAAAACATAATGTCCATCAAAACATAATACATTACCTAAAAGTCTTCAAAAGATTTTTCTCTGTTCAGCTTCTGATATTCATAGAGAAGTCCAGTTGCTTGAGCAAAGACAAAATATGATGCTACTGAACTGATACTTCAAATCCTGTTCCAACAAAACTCATTCTCACAGGAGAACTATCGAAGCAAAGTGTTCATGTTTGTTTACTTACTCTGTTATTATACATTAGGTTCTTAAAGCAAAAATCATCAAAAACTTGTTATTTCCCATGAGAGATTTTTCATTTGCTTCATTTGCTATCTTGAAAACCCTAAGAAAAGAGGTTCTCAGTTGCTTTTTGCTGGCGGGGAAATAATTTCCTTTGCTAAACTTCAGCAGGCTTCACAGACTTTCCTTCCACAGTTGTGATATGTTACCTTTTCAAACAGAATGTAAAGCTTACCTTAAAGAAAGTCATGGTTGCTCCATCTTCAACAGCCCCATACTCTATCTTTGTCTGCTTAGCCAAGTCATCTGCAGAATCAATAGGGGATTCCATACGTTCCACTGTCAGAAAGGCGGCTAGGTTAGCAGTGTACGAGGAAATGATGATAAGTGTGAAAAACCACCAAATGCCTCCCACTATCCTGGTGGAGAGGGCTTTGGGCATGAGCTCAGAACCTAATAAAAATTAGGGGAGAAATGTGAAACCAGTGCACAGAAAACAATTAGTAAGTGTTCAACACTTTTTGCCACAGTGGGGAGATGGAATCACTGTGCAAAAAAAAATCTTCAAGCTATAGGCTCATGTGTACTACTTGTACAAACACATTCAACTGAAATGAAAAATAAGAACTGATTAAACTTACAAAGACAGATTTTTTGGAGCTGTGGGTATTAAAGGATAGCAATGGGAGATTAAGTTATCAGTGTTTTAAAAAAATATTTTATAAGGGAGTTACTTAAACTGGCTTTCCAGAAAAAAAATCACGGCTGGAGTCAGCCTCTAAATCATTATTATTATTGAAGCACACAGTTCTTTAACTTCAAGGCATAAAATAAGAATTTTTTAAATGTTTTTTTAAATGTTACATTAAATGTGTAAAATCTCTTGATTAAATTTTAAAAGTTTCTGATGAAGAGATATGAAAAAACTATTTCATATCTGAAATGCATAATATAAAATAAAAACATAAAGGAATAATCAAATTTTGCTTTTAGGTAAAAAGTAACATCTCCCATCTCTATAGTTAGCCACACAATTTCAGATAAACATCTATGCCGTGTTTTAAATTTGATAGAGCAGCAATTAAAATACTAGACTGCTATGCATAAACTAGATAGATAAATAGATAGATAGATCAATAGATAGACTATAATGCATTGCTGGAGTTGCCTGCTCATGGCGCTAAAGAATGGAGGGGACTATAAACACTGTATAGTAATTGGCATAATTAATAAAGTTAATTTAGAGTCTGATGAGAAAAACTGAAGCACATATCTCTTGTGCATAATTACTAAATATAGGAGAAATAAAATTTAATGTAATTAACAACCACAAGTATTTATTAATAATGAGCATGTATGCACTTTTGTCCATAATTTTATAATTAAATGAAATTTCTAGTGTTGAATAAATAATTTCAGGCTTCACTGAAATAATGTTATAATTTTTTAAAATTACTTTTAAAATATATGTAAACTTGTTTTAAGAAAAACAGTTTTACCATATCCACTACATCACTGTATCAAAGCAATCCATTTTTGTTAATTGGTCAATGTTTGTTTCTAGATCTCCTGGGTAAAATGGAATGAAGGCAAGATGGACTATTTTATTCCTGTTAAATTTTAGTGTTCATATTGAAACATTTAAGGAACTGGTCCAGCAAGGTAACACATCTTCATATAAATGAAAGATTATGCCAAACTTTCAACGTCAATGCCAAAAAAAAGAATAAAACAAACGGGGGGAAAGGAAAAGGAGGGGGGAATAAAACCAAAGGAAAGAAAAAAAGAAGTGGTATCATAACTGGACTACTGTACTCAAAAACAGCCCATCTTACCCTGCAGTTCATCTTACCCTTGCTGTTTCAAACAAAAAAAGCTGACAGACTTGGACATGACAGCCAACTCCAGCTCCAGATTCTGCCTAGAATTCTGCAAGGAAAAAAGTAGAAAAGTACCTTTCTGATGTAGTTGCTCCTAGGCCCTGCCAGTCAGACACTTACACACCATAACACTAACAGAGTTCCCAATATGCCCACCATCACCAACCATTTTTTAATTGTTTCATTAAAAATCAACACCAGTAAAGTTGGATAAGACTGAGAAGAAAAGAAGAGTGGAAATGTTTGCCGCAGTTGCCCCAATTACCACAAGTTCGTACCAAGGACTGAAACCGAGTGCCACCTAGGCCCACAAAACAGAGCCTGGTTAGGGGCTGACTGTCATGTACCCAAGGTAACGTCATGTCCAGCACTATATCCCACAGTTTCCTGGGAGCGAGCAGTGTCAGCAAGACATGTATGAGTTCCCTCTATCATGTATCCTCCAGCACTAAGCAAATGTTTTGCAAAGAAACAGCACTTTAGAAGTTAATATGAGGAAGGCTCAAGCGTTATTTTAGTTTTTCCAATGGAAAGCTATTGCCACAAGATGACAGCTTCCATGCCTGTGTAAATGCCTGTTTTTAAGAAACTTCATGTTTGGGGAAATTTTTTTGAAAAGCAATTATAAAAATCAAGACTGATACTTCATCCTTAGAATGATGTCTTCAAAAATATATAAAAAGGAAAAATGATACAAGGCAAGGACAGAGGTTCAGTCTTGATTCAAAGCAACCATGGAAATCTATCATTCCCAAAAGATACTTAAAACTAATGCCATCTTTTTCTTCCTGATATCTCATTCTCAGGAAAAATTTGGATGGTAGGGATAAACATTTTTATTTTTTGAAATGACAA